CATCAAACAGCTTTGATCAAAATCTGCATTTAAAAGGAACATGAAGCATTGTATCAAAAAAAAATAAAAGTGATGTAACAAAAGGAGAAATACATAAAAAAAACAATGCTTTTATAACCATTAGATGGTATATCCATTTTCGTTTAATTTGCCAGAGGTTATGTGTGCTTGTCAGAGAGAGAAAAAGAACGGAGAGAGAGAAAGAGTGAGAAAGCATTCCCCATGGGATGGGATCATGCCACAATCCCTTCTCCTTCATTTCTCCTTTCGGTACTTTGGGCGTGCACACATATGTCTTGTTGTGTTTCTCAAGTTGCCATCAGGACTCAAGTGGCACAGCTGGCCATGTTGGATCCAGCTCATTTAACCACCAGACTATGGGCTGGCCCTGCATGTTTTTTAGTAGTTCCCTTAACTGTACTCAGTAAAATCCTACTGTGCCATATATAAGCCCACTCTGCCTTCAAATCAGGCTGTAAGATGCTTGCTCTTAAAAAGAGACGCACAGCAATGTAACACAGATGGATATGCGCTGAGGTGTTGAGATCAGGAGTGCACAAGGATAGGGATAATCCTCATAGGGTAATAGGGGAGGAGAGAAAGCAATGCAAAGCCCTGCTATCCCTGCCATCATGAATCTTTTGTCCACTTTAGTCAAAAAGTTTTTGCTATATTTTCGTGACAGACACTATATTCTGGTGGGCAATTTTATTTAACACTTGCTGACACAGCTTTTGCCACCGAAATGTTTCACAAATTTTATTTTACGTGACATCAAATGCTGTTTGCTTCTTATAAAGGATGAGTTTGGAAACACGTCATCATGTGTATCGGCGTTTGAATATGCCTAAACACCACAGCATTTTCCATGCAGATATCTACTGAGAGAGGAAAAGTATAATATGGTAACAGCAGTTAGAGATTATTTTATCTAACAAATTTGAAGTTCCTTCAGATAAAACTTCTTAATAAAATCCAAAATTCTTCACTCTAGAGATAATGTGAGAATTATCTTGGCAAACCATCTTCTTTTCAGGTAATATGTTAGTTTCTCCTCCATTATGCTTCTGTGAAATACAAGAGCTCTGCTATACTTGATTACAGGGTTAGACAATTTGCAAAATGCAACCTTCAGATTTCTTCTGTAGGTTCTTTTATTTTGTTTTTGACATCAGTTAACACTCTAGCTGCTTTCCTAAATACCTGTCATTAACAAAATAATGTGTTTTTGTTATACTCTAAACTGATTTCACAGATATCACAAACCTTAAGATTGGGTAAAGAATCCATAATATTTACCTTCTTTCTCTGCATCTGCATGAAATCTTCATTCTTTCCAACAAATAACAACCTCTAGCTATTTCATTCACCAGCAGTTTTTGTCTATAGCATTTTCTTTATTAAAGAAGATAAATGTGTATTCTCTTTTAACTATTAAAGACAGACCTACAAAACCTGGACAAAAGCTGAAGCATAGGCGTTACCTCTGCCTCCCATCATTAATGGAGGGAAATGACACGCGGCATGTAAAACCCCGGAGAGAAGGGAGCTTTGCAGGTTACTACTCTGTAGACCATCCTGAGGTGTGACCTTTGCTCAGTACTCCAAATCTCACACTTTAAGCTAAAAGAAACATTTCAGAATTGTATTATGTGTTGGGGTAAGCCTATTAATATTCTAACTTGCTTGCTTCTCATTAGTTCCAGGAGGAGTACAGGATAGCCTGAAGGTTATTAGGTGCTCATTAAAGAAAAAGCTTTAATGTGATAGACCAGGGGCAGAAAATAATAGTACTCAGATGCTGTGATACAATATTTAATGATCTTAGTCTACAAGCTGATGTTCAGGAAGTTTTTCAAGTACCATGGTTATCAGAGCATCAGAAAAGAATTAAAATACAGTTAATATACTGCCATTTTTTCATTTCTCAAGAGATATATAAATTTAAAAAAATAAGTTTAATTTTAAGCTTAAGATCAATAAATCAATGACTAAATTTTCAATATAGAAGCTATCTCATGAGCACTGGCTATTGACTAAAATATCATGGTTACATTGCTGGAATTCCACATGGTAGACCATGGTTTGAGTCCTGGATCCAGTGGCTTCAAACTCACACCAGGCATGGTCCTGGATCCGGTGGCTTCAAACTCACACGGGGCGTGTGTGAGTGTGTACCCAAAATCCCGAAAGGAGACTGGAGAAGAAGGAATTGCAGTGTGGCCATCCCCCCCTGGGGGGGGGTAATTTCTCACTTTCTGTCTCTCTGTCTCTCTCTGACTCTCCAGCAATTGCATGTGCCCTACAGCAAAAATATTTCTTAAAAAATAAAATCTACATTCCACTGATTTCCTAAAGGCTCAAATCTTAGTTGGTCCTGATTTTAGATCAAGACTTGATCATAAGAACACAGTGGTAAAAACACACAAATATCAACTATCATGTTAACATATTCTGTATACCACAGAAAAGAAAATAATGCCCTTCAGTCTTTGCCTTTGTAGGGAAGTTTTAAATTTTCTCATCTCTCTAAAGGTTAGGTCATCTTTAGTCTCTAAAGCTGACAACCAGATTAACAGGAATAAAGCATACATATTTATTATGTGCACATCAAAACAGGGTCCAGCACACGTGGTACTCGAAGGGTCAGGTGACCAAAGATGTTATTAACTTACAGAAAAGAGGCAGCTCAGGGTTAAGCTATAGAAAAGTGAGGGGAGAACATGCCCAGAGTGTCATGTTTTCCTGGCAGGGTATGAGACCTCTAATCCCTGCTTCCTTTGATGATTTTTCTTAGATAAGGAAAGCATCAGTTAAAGCCTGAGTGCAGCCTCTGCTCACTACACTGATGTAAATAGAAGTACATTTCCTTTACCAAAGGTTAGCTTTTTTATTTAATCTTTTATTTTTGAGAGTTTTTTTGCTATAGGGCACCTGTGCTCCCCAGACAGAAAGAGACAGAGGGACAGAAAGCGAGAAGTCACCCCCCAGCCAGGGGGGATGGCCACGCTGCAATCCCTTCTCTTCTGTTCTCCTCTAGGGATCTTGGGCATGCACGCACACACACCCACCAGGTCCAGGATGCAAACCCGGTCGACTACGTCGGAGTCCAGCGACATAGCCATTACACTAACTGCTAGTCCCAAAAGGTTAGCTTTTTAAAAAAAAAAAAAAAAAAAAAAAACAAATCTTGTATTTGCAAGTCCTCAGAATAGTTCCCTGGAAGTGTGTTAAAGGGAGATAGTTTGGGGTGGGATATTTTGGCTTACCACACCTATCTATTGAAACGTAAGGAAAAGGTAGCAAATGGAAGGGAATGTATCCCAAGATGGACTGAAAGAATCAAGTTTGAGAGGAATGTTCCCTTTGAAAGGAGAGGTGGATGAATCATGGCATATTCAGAAGGGATTGCCAGCTAATTGCCAGGTAAAGGCCACGGTAGACACCCTCTTACGCGGCATTACCTCCCTGCAGACCTCACCCACCACCTCAAAGCCCATTTATTTTTCAAAAGGACAATTAGCACAAAACTGGTACTCAGGTGTCCCATTTATCCTTAGCCATTATTGGTATTGCTTTATTTTATTCTTTAACTTACTACCTTTTGGATTCACAGTTTCCATATGGGCTTTGTAATTGCATATTTCCTGAATTAACTTTGAGATATTGTTATTACAATTAATAGAATATTTTCTATTCAAAGAGCACAAGAGAAGACAACAATTTAAAATCCCTAAAGACATTTAGATGCATAAATAGTAAGTAAAATCCCACCAGTTGGAGAATTTCTAAAAAAATAAAGCTTTAAAATGTCATTGCTTAGTTTTATATAAAGTGATACCAAAATTATTAAAAATAAATGTGTATATATAAGTGCCCAGTAACTATTCATATCATATGTCACATTCAATAACTATAATTAGATCAACACTTCTCCTCTTAAGGCAAAAATAATTTAAAATGCTTCATATGCATGTTATTAGGAGTATTAAAGATAAATCTTAAAATAATTTGTTTATAGTTTAATTAAAGTTCCTTCTTTCTATAGCTAATCTGAAACCTTATACTTATATGAC